CTTCCTAAGCCTGGGATAAGGATCCAGGTTGCAGGACGTTTGGTCGGAATAACCAAACACTTTATTTTAGGTTGGCTGGAAAAACCAATCTAAAGGTTGGTTAGAAAAACCAACACCCCTCCTAAGCCCAGGATAAGGATCCAGGCTGTAGGACGTTTGGCCAGAATAACCAAACATTTTATTCTAAATTGGCAAAAATAACCAATTTAGAGGTTGGCTGAATTAAACCAACTCTAGTACTCTTTAGCCGAAGTAAGGACATCGGTTAAAGAGTGGTTGGCTGGATTAAACCGACTCTTGTATTCTTTAGCCGAAGAAGAGGACATCAGCTAAAGAGTGGTTGGCTGAACTAAACCAACTCTTGTACTCTTTAGCCGAAGTAAGGACATCGGCTGAAGAGTGGTTGGTTAGATTAAACCAACTCCTAGTACTCTTTAGCCGAAGTAAGGACATCGGTTAAAGAGTGGTTGGCTGGACTAAACCAACTCCTAGTACTCTTTAGCCGAAGTAGGGACATCGGCTAAAAGAGTGGTTGGCTAGACTAAACCAACTCCTAGTACTCTTTAGCCGAAGTAGGGACATCGGCTAAAAGAGTGGTTGGCTGGACTAAACCAACTCCTAGTACTCTTTAGCCGAAGTAGGGACATCGGCTAAAGAGTGGTTGGCTGGATTAAACCACTCTTGGTACTCTTCAGCCGAAGTGAGTATATCGGCAAAAGAGTGGTTGGCTAGTAAGCTCAGTCAGATTGCTCAGCTAAGACCGGAATAAAATATCTCGGCCGAAAATATTATGTTTCGTTCAAATTGCAGTTAGAAAGCAAGCATAAACTGGAAAGTAAACCGAGATAACAATTGGAGCAATAGAAGTCATTGAAAAGTCATTACAGGTACAAGCATACAGATCAAACCGGAATAAGTGTTGAGCAGAAAAGATGATTTTCATTGATCAAATTCAAAACAAGTACAAAGGAGGGGCCACAACCTGGTTACAAGAGCAAGAAGAAAAAAAAAAGAAAGATACAAAATCAGTTAAAGAGATCGTCCAGATCAGCATCCAGCTCAACTCTGAGTCCGGTCTTAGCAGGAAGTTCGGTCGTAGCCAGAACTCGGTTGGGCTCGGTTGAAACAAGCTCCTCTGCGTTCGGCTCAGCTGCAGACACGACTATAGCATCAGGTGCTGGGGGATTGGAGATCATCGGAATTAGAGGAGTAGGCTGGCGACCGGGCTGGGAGTCGTCTTCAGAAGAAGAACCTTCATCTCCACCTTCTTTAAGAAATTGCTTCTGAAGGTCGGCAGCATACTCCGCCAGTGAGGCCGGAATAAAATACTGAGGAGCATTGTAGACCTCAGTTTCGGGCCCACAACCGAGCTGCTCCACAGCACCTCTCCAGCGGCACTTGAAGAATAAATCCTTTGCTGCTTCACATTGATTGATATAAAGGGCTTCACCCTCCTTGAAACCCCGGAGCTCGGCGTCTTCTGCTTTCTTCTTCAGCTCCGTTATCTCGGCGTCCTTCTTACCTTCGAGCTTGACTAGCTCACGAAGGTACTTATCCTTCATCACAGTTAGGGCCTTCTGTTTGTCTGCATCGGCCGAGGTAACTAGTCCGGTTAGACGAGCTACCTCGGCCTCTAGCTCGGCTGTCTTCTGGTAGGACTCCTTCAGTTCTGTTGCTTTTGCTTCAACCTCTGCCATGGCTTGCCTTGCTGTGTTCCTGAGCTCCAACACCTTTTTATGCGCAATTTGGCCCTTTTGCACGGCCAGAAAAAAAAATACTAATGACAAAACTGAACAGAAAGTTGGTGATATTTAGAGAGACAAGAAGAACAACTTACCAGGATCATTGATTTCGTGGCCGAGCGGATGGCCCTTAGCTCGGTCAAGTTCTTGTGGTGTTCCATGTCGGCTGGGAGGCACACACTCTTGGCAAGGTTGAAAGCCATCAGATGGTCTTTTTCAGCGACAACTGAATCAGTGTCCTGAATATCACGGTTCTGGAAAGTCAGTTTGGGTGCCCATTTGGAAGAGCTGGCCCGGTCGGCGTGCTCCGGTTGCGAGCTTAGTGGAGGTCTTGGTGGCAGAGTGGTTTCGTCTTCATCAACTAAGCGTTGTTCGGTCTGGGTAGTACGGGCGCGCTTAGTTCGGCGTGATGAGGAGGGTTGTTGTGATGGTAGGGCCACCACGGTTTCTTGTGTTTGGTTTGGTGGTGTTACCTCGGCCCTGTTTGTCTCGGTCAAGAGGGCCCTGACTCTGTTTCTCTTGGCCATTTCTTCTTCAGCAGTCAGTGGGATTAGGTTAATTTGTGGCAAGGTTGGGTCCGGTTCGGGGGCGTCCTCCAACAAAAAGTCAGTTACTCTGGCTTTTCGGCGGCCGCTGTATCTGTATGTCGGTTCGAAATTTAGAAGTTTGGCCCAACTTCTTTCTGGAAAACGTAGTGCGGCGCGGATAATGTTCAGGTTGGGGTAACTGTACAAGGATTGAAGATGGGCTGAATCTGCATAAAGAAGACAAACTGTTAGTTCGGATCAGGAACGGGTAACCGAAATAAAACAAAGCATGCCAACAAACCGAAGTAATTATACCAGGTGCTCCTTTATTCCAGTTTATACTTCGGCCAGGGATCTGGGCTTGCTGGTCTTCAAAATTGCTAGACACCCAGAAAAAGTCATCATCATTCAAGTCTTTGTCCGGTGTGTATTTTATTATTTTTTCTTGGCGGCGGCGTATTCTAAGATAGTAAACCCAGCCGTCTTCTTTTGACCCTATGGAGTACTAGTGGAATATTTCGGCTAGGCCAAGGTTAATGCCAGCTCGGCGGTTTAGCTCGACTATACCCATTATTATGCGGTATGAGTTAGTGGAAAGCTGGGTTGGGCATATTCTCGTTTGCCTAAAGAATTCACAAATTAAGGGTTGGACTGGAAATCTTAATCCGGTTTCTATTATTGATAAAAGGGTAAAGGGTACAAAGCCCTGGTTTCCCCAAGGTATAGCATCTTTTTTGGCTAAGGTTAGGTGAACATCGTCAGGGATGTTATAATCCCTTCGGAATTCGGCCAAGCCACCTGGTGTTTCTACTAAAAACCTATATTTACCCATTTATTCCTAAGTTATGTATAAATTATGCTTGGTGCTAGCTTGGTCGGAAAATGTTGTTGTGTAGCTCGGTTGAGTGATCAAAAGGAGTGCCTGGGCAACCTAAGTCTGCAAAGTGAAAAACAGAAGTGTTAAGCACAGATCTATAGACCGTGCTACAAAGTAAAAACAAGTTAAGTCCTACTTCGGCTTTGTGAAATGTTGCATGTCCTATCTCGGTTTCAGCAAGGTGCTTGGTAGCTCGGTTGGGGCAAGTGATTTGTTAGACCGATTGAAATTCTAGGGGCAGCTTTCTTAGTTCAGTCTGAACTAAGCGTGCTGGTTTAGCCCCAAGATAGTTCGGTCGGAATTGAGGCCTTTAAACACACTAAGTGCAGACTTAGTTCAGTTTGTTATCTCGGTTAAGATAAATCAAAAGATGGTTTTTTGACTTATTAAAACTACTGGTACAAGTGTTGGTTCGGTTGAATGGTCTGGGTAGACTTACACATAGCATAAACAGTATCCTAGTTCGGTTGAGACGTGTTTATGGATCAAACAGAGTGTTCTACAGATTGCTTCGTAAAGTTCATGAGGTTCTCATGAAGTTTTTTCCCAGAAAACGTAAGGCAAAAAAAGCAAAAAAGATGGATTTGAGTGACTTACCAGATGAAGGGGTAGAAGCACTGAAGATGAAGCAATGGAAGTGAAGAACACGAGCTCCTTAGTTACAAGAAGGAATGCGAGAAAGAGAGAGAGAAGAGGTGAATAGGAAGATGTAATGATTTGAAAGGAAAAACGAAAAAATTTGTTTTTGTGGTTAATGGCGAGAACTATTCAAATTTTGCGAAGTACGAGGGCGGCATAACAGCTACAAAGGGCCAATCAGAGCCTGCCACGTGTCACTAGAACGGGAAGCGATTCAGTTTCTGTGACTGAAGAGACGTTTTGGCCGGATAAGGATAAGCTCGGCTAAAATGTAGCTCGACTAAAATGGCTTGAGAGTTTTTAGCTCGGCTGGAAAGGCTAAAGGGTTTTTTTAGCTCGGCTGGAAAGGTTAAAACTTTAGCCCGGTTTATAGATAGGTAATCCCTATCATGCTACGCAGATGGAATTAAGGGGCAATTGAGAGGGAAATTTATATGTAAATTGGGCCGAGTTGGGCCGTTGTGGGCCTCAGTGCGAAGGGTTGAGTAAAAATGCCATAAAGTTACTCTGGTCCCAAAGAGGTTAGCTTGGTCACCATGCTAAAACTTGTACCGGTTGTCGCAGTATGGTTAGTTCGGTCGCTACAGTTAGTTCGGTCATGGCATAGGGAACCGAAGTATACTGAGCCCTCTTCAGGACTTGGTTTTGGGTTAGTTCGGCTTAAACTCTTCTATGGATAGCTCGGTCTTGGCATGTGAAGCCGAGGTAGGAGAAAAGCAAGGAAGAGCTGAACTAACAGTTAGATCGGTCACTCCAGTTAGTCTGGCATGGCAATGTTATTTCGGTTGTATGGTAGTCCGGCCATGGTAAAACCATCTCATTTGGTTTAAGCAGTGAGGGGGGTGTTAAAGGATAAGCATTATCCTTCAGGAGTATGAATCTTAGGAGGACTCTGCATGGAGAAGTAAAAGTCCTACTTGGATTATGCCACACGAAACCTATAAAAGCTCACAAATATCACCTTTGGAGAGGTAACACACAACTTTGATATACAGAGCTTCTTGTCTTTGTCTATTTTTCTGACTTAGGCATCGGAGGGGTTTTCGGCACACACCCGGCTAGCTCACGTTTGTGTTTTTAGGGAATAAAGCAACGACGTTTGGAGGAGCACAGACTTGATCAAAAGGATTATACGAAAAGATTTATTTCTTTCCCGTACAGATAATTTTAAATTAATTGCCTAATATTAATTGGATGTTGCTTAGGAGGACATACCTGCACTAGGGGAGGAACCAGTCGTTGAATTGGGAAAAGAGACACAGATAGAGTTAAAGGTTGATCCCAGGACTGCTGAATTCGACAAAGAGACAAAGGTCGTAACGGAAGAAGTAGAAAAACTCAAGAACCAACCCTCCGTGCACATCTTACCTCTAGACCTCTTGCTCAACCCACAAGTTCTGAAGTGTTCAACATTGAGAAGTTATTTGGTGGTCTAGGACAGCCCCACGTGGTGCCCCGTGTGTGTTATGATTGGTGGATGAGTGGAATACATAATTTTATGTTAGGTGATTCAGAAATAATAGAGATTATAGTATTTTGTGATTAGCCAGATATGGCCACGTTTTGCATCTAGACCAACAAATAATTTTTCTTTATCAATAGAGAACTGTCAATCTATGTAACAGTGTTTACTTATCCAAATCAATGTTCAGATTGAATTTAAAATATTATTTTAGAACAAATTATATTGGTAGTTACAATGATTTGGCCCTTATATCTTTTTAGTTTTTGTAGTTTACTTAGATCGATTTTGATCGTAATTGTTTTTTTTTTTTTTTTTTTTTTTTTTTTTTTTCAAATTAGGGGCATTCTATTTATATCTAAATAATAACTAATTAAAATTTTAAAATTTTAATTTCTATTATACTATAATATAAATTTATTAATAAGGACAATATATATTAAATCTTAAAATAAAATATTATTTTTTTCATAGTACACCCAAATCACTCATATCTATTCTTCATATTCAGTAACTATTTTCATCTTCTTTCTCAAATTTCACAAATCTCATGCAATCAACAGTTTCGTCTCTCTCAAATTGAAATTAAAACTATGGGTCATGATTGAGAACCTCTCCAATCATCACTTCCACCCCCCCTCCACCCACACGTGGCAGGTGGTGATTGGAGGAGAAGGAAAAAGAAAAAAAAAAGAATTGGCCAATCATATTGAGAGGGGGTCAAAGGGGTGGAAGAGAAAAGGGGTCTGAAACATTATTGTAAAAGTATTATTGAATCAGATATCCAAAATTGCATTGAACAAGAGAGTGATAGATATATAGTCATATATATATAAGTATATATAGATAAAATTGAAATTAAAACTATGGGTCATGATTGAAAACCCCTCCAATCACCACTCTCACCCCCCCTCCACCCACACGTGGCAGGTGGTGATTGGAGGAGAAGGAAAAAGAAAAAAAAAAGAATTGGCCAATCATATTGAGAGGGGGTCAAAGGGGTGGAAGAGAAAAGGGGTCTGAAACATTATTGTAAAAGTATTATTGAATCAGATATCCAAAATTGCATTGAACAAGAGAGTGATAGATATATAGTCATATATATATAAGTATATATAGATACAATAGTCCAATCAAGTTTTTCTCTTTCTTGTTTTTAACCTATTTGTAATTGCTATTTGGTTTTTTTTTTTTTAATTTACGTTATTTAATAGGTCCTATGATAATTAATGATATTTTTATCAAACACTAATAAAAAAAATATCTCTAATTGTTAATTTTCAGCGACAGTTTAAAAATTTTATCACAAATAATGTTACCAATTATAAGTTTAAAAAAAAATCGTCACAAAAAAAAAGTCACTAATTTTTAACTTTCAGTGACAGTTTGAAAAATTCGTCACAAAAAAATTTGTAAGTTTAGTGACAATTTATAAAAACTGGACCCAAAAAAAAAAAAAATCACTAATTGTTGATTTTTAGTGGCATATGCAAAAAATGTCACAATTATTTTTAGCGACGATTTTATTAGGATTTATTTTTAATAGAATTTGATAAGAATTGAATCAAATTATTAAAATCTATATTAATAGAGTATTATTATTATTATTATTATTATTTATTTTTTTGGATCAAAATTGTAGGAATATTATTATAAAAGGTAAAAATTGTTTAGAACAAAATTGAATCCCTTTCTAATTAAAGAAGGGACATTTCAAGAAAAAAATTATTAAATATTTTCAAAATATTATATAAACATTGCCTGAGATTTTTAAAATGACTCAAACCTTCCTCACTAATTTGAAAATAATTTTTCAATCTTCTATTGGAGTGTAATTTTCCATGTGAGCCATTGAATTGCAAATTGCCACGTCGCAAAGCCACTGTTGCACTCAATTCTAATAAATTCTAAGCCATTAATTAAAATCACAGGAAAAGATAGATTTCTCCCCCATTGTACAGTAGGTCCATTCGAAAGTAATTTTCTGCATACGATGATGATGATTTCCTTATATATTAATTTTACTGTGACATTGCATGTACCTCGTGGCCATTTTTACACTTGAAGTTGCCCTGACTTTCGTCCTCATTGCTACCAAGAAAACTAATGTAGTTGAAATTGTGGGAATTTCATTGTTAACATCATGCTTCAAATTTGATGGGTTGAGACAAAATGTTTATGGAAATAATATGCCAATTCCACATTTGCATTGGTTGAGACAATATCTGGGTGTAATGTTCCAATTCAAATTCAAATCTTACTGACTAAACTTGTAAAGCAGCTTTCCCCTCACGGATTTGGGGATTCTGCTGTGATTTTCACAGCAGGGATCTGTGGTGCTTTGGTGGGAGGTTTTTCTGAGTCTTTTTTGATAATTTGAATTGTTCATATGTTCATCGAATATATTATTCATACAAAAAATTAAGTTAATCAACAATCCGCAACTTCGTGATCATATTCAAATTGTTTTACAAAAATTATTAAGATAATGTTAACTATTTAGTTTTTAAAAAACAATGTGTTTTTGTTATAAAGCTATAGATTTCTAATCAATTTGATTTTTTGTATGAATGATCTATTCAATGAACCCTATAATATGAGCAGTTTAAATTATCGAAAAAACCTCCACCCAGGTACCATAGATCGCTACTATTAGTCACAACAGCATCCCTTGGTCCTCCCTCACCTATTACCTTTCTATCATCAACAATGGGATAAAATCTAGTTTTGGTTTGTTTATCAAAACATATTTTTAGAGAAATTTTTTAAAAAAATGTTTGGTTGAAAATTAAAAAAAAAAAATTCCATTCAAACTCCATTGAATAACATTTAAAATTAAAAAAAAAAAAAAAAAAAAACTCCATTTAAAAATGTTTGGTTGAAGCCACCGGTCTCTGGCCTAACACATATTGTCCGCTTTGGCGTAAACCCGCCGCACGGTTTTGTTCCTCCCCTACTGGAGGAAAAGGCCTATGCTAGGGAGAGGAGTCAGTCTACTTATAAGGTGGGAAAGTAGTCTATCATAGACCGATATGGGATTTTCCCGCACATTAGCCCCCAGTCGAGCTGGCTCCGACACCGGCGCAAGACATCCGAGTACTAGAGGGAGTTCCCACAAACGGCGCCAAATGAAGCCACCGGTCCCCAGCCTAACATATATTGTCTGCTTTGGCGTAAACCCGCCGCACGGTTTTGTTCCTCTCTCACTAAGGGAAAAGGCCTATGCTAGGAAGAGGAGCCAGTCTGCTTATAAGGTGGGAAAGTAGTCCCTCACAGACTGATGTGGGATTTCCCCGCACATTAGCCCCTAGCCGAGCTGGCTCCAACACCGGCGCAAGACATTCGAGTGCCGGAGGGAGTTCCCACAGACGACGCCAAATGAAGCCACTAGTCCCCGGCCTAACACATGTTGTCCGCTTTGGCGTAAACCCGCCGTACGGTTTTGTTCCTCCCCCACTGGGGGAAAAGGCCTATGCTAGGGAGAGGAGCCAGTTGCTTATAAGGTGGGAAAGTAGTCCCTCACAGACCGAAGTGGGATTTCCCCGCACACCTCTCATTTCATTTCTAAGAGTAGAATCCAAAACCTCCCCTTAGAAGAGACTTAGGGCTATTTTGAAAAGTGGGTTAAAAATCACTTTCCAACTTTTAATCTACTTCCTCTCTCACAAAAAAAAAAAAAAAAAAAAAAAAAACCAACTTTTAATCATCTTCCTAAAACATCCTGACCAAAGAGTTAGCCAATTAGACAAGAGCTCCTTGGTTATGTTGTATTATACTTAATTATTTGTGTATGGTAACCACCATTCATTTAATGAAAAATAGTGAGATCTGACTTGGTTGTTGTATTCAGATTATTTTGGTGATTATAAGGTTTTGTGAATAGAAAGAACTCTTTACAAAGGAATTTTGAGAGATAGTTGCTTCTTGTATTTTTTTTTCCTCTTTTGATATGAAACCTTTTGTCATTCTTCTCGTGTGAACATAGATTAAGTCGAATCAAGTACATTTTTTTAATTTCTCATATTACTTTATTATCGTACTTGCTGGTTTTTTTGGCTTTCAAAGGTTAGTATTGTAATTTTAAGCGTGCTAGTAAGGATCAATCAGTCCTTACAGAAGATTAATTGCCAACCAATTATCAGACGATTGTGCTTCAGTTCTTTTAGCATCAACAAAGAAGACTTTTACTGGTGACTTTGTTTAGGAGAATTTAGCAAACAACAATTAAATGAAGAACAATTGTAGCATTTCATTAAGTAAAAATGAAAGACTTACAATGATCTAATTCAGTCTCGTAGAGATTTACAGCAACAAGCTACTTGAAACTACTCCTATGAATAAAGTGCAGTGCAGGAATTTGAAGTACAGAAATGTAAAGAACAAGAAATGTAAAAACTGAAAGGAAAATAAAGTAGATAAAACTAGTTTCTAAATCTGAGTTCAGGGGCTCTTTCTGGGGCCCTCTTTGTTATTTATACTTCTCAATGATAACCGTCGAAATGAGTTTTTAACCGTCGAATCATCCTTCCATAATCGCCGATCATGTTTCCTCACAGTTAGCTCCATTACGCCATGTCTACAGTTATGTTTCCCTCCTAATTTTGAATTTAAATATATGAGTAACTGTTAAAGCCACGTCATCTTGCATCTCTTTGTTGATACAGTGCTATGTAGATCCACAATAACTAATACTAACTATCACATGTGTGATTACGATTGAAGATTTGAATTGTCTTCCCATATTGCGCTCATCCTGCCACATGTTGAACTGTGATTGGCCTATACAAAATATGTAGCCAACATTATCCCCCGCACTAATATACCCAATACTTGGTGATATTAGTGGATTAAGGTATTTTATCCACGTCTTAGAACGTGCATGGACTTTGCATTTTTCAGAAATGCAACCGT